CCCCCCTGAAACCTCCTTACTCTTGACTTTAACGAACGAAACTACAAAATCGCCGATCTAGAATCTAGATCAAAGTAAAGTTGGTAAAATGTAGGTGGTTATAATGACCACAGACAACACTCCATCCCCCCCCAAAAAAAAACCCCTAGAAAGTAGCAAAAATAGAAGGAAAAACGAAGCATCTCATCTAGATCTAGTTGTAAGTTGGGTTCGGAGAACTTTCTGGACTATCTATCCAAAACTATCCCAAGTCCAAGCCCAAGCAAGGGCCTGGAGGGCAAGAAGAAGAGCTTGATTGGCAACGACGTAAACAACGGTTACTTAACTAAAAATGTGTGATGTAAGAATGAAATAGTTTGTTATTTAATTTCAGATATGAATAATCACTTTAACAGCTATTGATAATTCAGGAAATCTGTAAGTTTTCTACATTCATGAACAAAGACCAAGCAAACAAGTTTATTCTCGTTGAAAAAAGTATACATTACCGCCGCCATGCTGCCGGTATTTGCTCTCTACTGCCAGGTATTTATCCCCAATACAGTGACAATCAAATACATTTTCTTTTGTTGAGTATTTTTGTTGTCTCTTTATAAAATTGTTTTGTAAGCTATATGATACTTTATAATGAATACAAAATACTAATTGCATTGTAAAACTTCACTGCATTTTAAATGGAATGAAAAACAACTTTGTAATCGCTTTGATTTACAATTTTGTGATATGCCAATTTGGCATTAAAACAAACCATGCCTTCTTGCGAAACTAAATTGTTCTAAATCAAAGGAGTAGCTTTAAAATAAAAATTACTAAAAGATTCCAATTTAAATATAGTGTCACTCCAGTTTCTTTGGAAAAACATTAATTTTTTCCACCTACATTTATATGTTTTTTCGAAAATATAAATGTTAACTCTGTCAATATTATTGTAGCAACGTCCAAGATGGCTTCCAGTGAGGAGGTGCGGGAATTTTGTTATTACGGTTCATGATTTTGTTGAACAATTCGACATTGTGTTCTTTGTGACTGTGTGTGATGATTTTGGAGAAGACTTATTATCGACTTATCGTACATTTATATCACTGCCTGTTGCAATTAAGTTCAAATATTTTGGTTTTTTCTTCGGGTGTTGATTTCTATTGGGAGAAATTGGAATTTCTCTGTCTGGTTCCAATAATTAGCCTATATGAATGTATAAGGCATTATGCTCCAACGCACATTAGTCGTGTTAATCCTTCCCAAGGCAGTATGCCAAATCAGTTGCACCAAGCCTATTGTTTGTTCGTCTATATAGCTGTTTGAATATGCCAATATAACTTGCGGTTCAGTGAATTCCTTATTGCAAAGCCGGCTGCTTTCTGTCTCACTTGATTTATTCCTGAGTGGATGAAGGAAGCCCCAAATATTTTTTCAATAAATATATTGAAAATGCCATTATCATATCATTCTGTTCCCACATGGTCAGACAATGAAGCATATATGTAATATTTGAGGGTAAAAATATATTAATAAAGCAACCCCACCTCCATTGACTGATATTGTCATTTTAAAGGACCTCAATTGAAAGTCCACTTACACCTATTACTAGTGGTGGGCAAATTTGCCGGAAATGAGTAACAGCAAATCCCAGTACCAAATCCAGTAGATACTCCCAAATCCCAG